TTGTTCTGATACAGTATACTCTGTGCATTAACCATTATATGCAGTAACCATTACCATTAACCATTTATGAAAGGTAGATTTGTTTCCTAGCAGGAAAGTACTTTGCCTTCAATCTCAGGCTTAAATAAATATTGTGTGATTGTTTATTCACTTGGAATATTTACCTTTCTACATTCCAAATCTGAATTTCTCTCATTTGGCTGACTTCTTAAATATCAGTTTAGGTAAGAAGATTTCATCCAGGGATTATCTGCTGAAAAGAAAATTGTCAGAGATTTTTGCTTAACTGGAGTTGAGATTCTTTCCCCAGAAACCTCATTCAGTTGTGAATAGTAATTCTCTTTCATAAGAGTTCATTTGAGTAACTTAAATTTATAAAATTCAAGTTTTCTTCATGGAAATTTTTGTCCTAGGCTTGAGTCTTAATTGTTGTTAATGTGTTTTCCATACTTTGGGATTCTGAAGTGTACTGATTTCTACTTGTTTTTTCTTTCTTAGCATGTCTTAAAAAAGCTCCTGGCTATTACAGAACTGCTTCAACAAAAACAAAACCAGTATTCAGTGACAAATAACATCAGGTAGCAGCCTTTGCCTTAGTATTCTGCATGGATTCAGCATGCCCAACATGGTATAATTCCCATCAGTATCACTTTCTCCTTGCTCTTGCCAAAAATAGCACACCTTTCCACATTCCCAGGGATGTGTGAACTATGCAAAACAAAACCCAAGATTCTGCTGGGGGAGAGTTGTGCCAGCAGCTTCGTAAGCTATCTGTGCAGGATATTTGCACTTTTTTTCCACATGGAACGAATCTTCAACAACCTCTGAGCCTTGGTGTACAGATCACCTTTCATAAAGTAAAATGCTGTGACTGTCTCTTGAACTTCAAAAATTTATTTTCAATACATCCAATTGCCAAAGTTTCGCTGTCTGTTGGAAAAAGAATTATGTTGTCAACTGACAAGAAAGAAAAGCCTTCTCTTTTGACAGCTGAGTATAACTGGATTGCAAATTTTTCTTACTGTAACTTCTTCCTTGTTGGAAGATGACCGTTTGACTGTTCAATCACTTTATTTGTATTTACAGTTTCCAGAGTTTGACATTATAATAGGAACAATCTTTGTTGTATACTTTTTTTATACTGTACTGTTTTCTCTTGCCTGGATTGTGTTAAAAGAGAATGTTCAGAATGGTATTTGTCAGCTTTATTTTTTAAATGTGCCATTGATTTTGTCTGTTTGAGTAATTCTTTCATCAAAGACAGTGAATTCAGATAAATCTCAATGCTTTTGTAAAATGTTTACAACAGTAAATAATTTGAATTCAATAAATTTATTGATCATTGTTATCAGTCATGCATGCCTTCATTAAACCATTTTATAAAATATGAATTTGTTGTCTTTTATGTAAAGCCAAACCTAAGCATTATCTTTGTTTAAAACACTCAGCCATTCCGAATTTTTGTGCTATTTTAAATTAGATAAACCACATCTATTGCTCGTTAAAAAATTCTCATTGGTTGAGAGCTGCACTTCATGAAGGGATATTTTGTTTGACTACATAGTTTTATTTATTGACAAGATTTGCTTCTGTATTTTTTTGTGTGAAATTCACAAAAACTAAGTTGAAATAAAGTCAAAGGGGTCTTGTGTTATTTGCTGTTTCTCCATTCATTTCTTGGTCTCTGCTTTTGCATAAATATGGATACCTTAGACTTTTCATTTTCCTCTACTGTCTCTTTCTCTTGTCCACTTTGAAGGCAAGTCAAACAATCTTCAAGGCCCCCTGGATGATGAAACTCAGGTCTCTCTTTTTACTTAGAAGTGGTTCATTAATGTATTTGAGTACCTGTTCTTTTCATAGCAATGTACCTAGATGTCATCCTGTACTCCAGATATTTTCCAGCCTCACTGGGGAGATACCTAATTCAGTTAATGGAGGCCTTGTGGTACAGTGTAAAAGCACTAGCTCAAGTGTCAAAGAGGACTAGAATTCAAATCCCACATCAGATTCCTTCCTTATATGTGTAGACCTTGAGCAAAATGCTTTAACTTCTCTGGACTGCGATTTATTCATTTATACAGTGAAGGGGTTGGATTAAATAGTATGTCCTCTATAGTTCTCGATCTATTATTCTATGAATTATGCTACCATGTAACCTCCATTTCTCCATCTTATCTACAAAAACAGTATGAGACTGTCATGATTTACTGAAATCTATAGGAAAAATATCTAGAATTCCGTTGATGAGTAACAAAAAAGGAAATGAGGTTAGACTACTATTACCTTTTTATAAGATGAAGTTATGCTTTATAAAGCTCTAAATACCTTTAATGATGTGTGTGAGGGAAAAGGAGGATAAAGAATAGTAAATGTATACTTATCCTCTTCCCAAAGTGGATTTTAGAGGTGCTTTTTCAGTTCTTTCTGATGGGAGTGGGGATTACTTATATTGGGCTGATACCAGGCTGTATTTGAGGGGAAGCTGAGCATATTAACTGAATCCCAGTATGTTTTGAGTCCAGTCAAACTGAAAGTAGGTAAAGGTGTGTCTTCTAGTCATTAAAATAACAAATGTTTGACCTTCCCCCTTCCTATTTATTTTTTCCAAACACTGAAGGCATAGTGCTCTTCCCTCCCTCCCAAATATTCCCTGTATGCCCAATTACGTTATTGATTAAAGTAATTCACATTAAAGTAGGAGTCATTTGTATTTTAGAAGACCCTTTTACATAAATGAATATTGAATCATAAATTCCAGCAGAATATATGAAGGAGCTTGTTTTGTTTCATAGATTTAGAGTTCAAAGGTACCTGGGGTCATCTAATCCAATACTCGACTCACAATGATGAAACTGAAGCTGAGAGAAAAAGTATGCTGCCGTTAAGTCACACAGGAAGCAAGTTACAGAACCAGCATTCAGATCTAGGTCCAGTGGTCTTACATAACAGGCCTTTTGTTCTGTTCCTGATTCCCTTTTGGGCGGGGGCTCTTAACCTGGGATTCCATTGACTTTTAAATATTTTTGATAATAGGCTTGTTTTCCTTTGATCTTATTTTATGCATTAAAAAACTGAGGAGTCCAAGGATCCATTACACAAAAATAATGTTAAGATCCCCCTTAGGGAGGCAGTTTGTTGCAATGGCCCAGTACTGTTAAAGTCAGAGGGACCCTGGTTTGAATGTCAGTTGTCACTCCCTTCCTGTGCAACAGGCCTCTGGACATTTTTCCTCATCTGTAAAATGAATGTTGGCCTAAAATCTGTGAAACCTTCTAATTCTTGGTAGGTCTATGACCCCACCCCCTAAATTTGCCAAATATTAATTTTACAAATACCATTTTGCAAACTATTTGCCATAATACCACCTAGGGACAAGGCTCACTCTTGTTGACTGCTTTTCGATTGCTTTTCTCCTGCACTGGATTTTCTCCATTCTTCCTCTTAAGTGTAGTCATTTTTCAACATTTGGTCTGTAGCTCTCTGCTCTTCTTTCTATACTTTGCCTTAATTTTTTTGTTGTTGATTAAACAAAAAAACACTTCTTAAAAGTATTTAATCTATAATGGGAAAACTGGATGAAAGAAAGGAATGGGACTGCTGTTGGGCAAGAATATGGTTAAGCTGTTCAAATCTTACTTTGCTTGTGTTTTTGTTTTTTTTTTTTTTTTACCAAAGGAGAATAAACTTTGAAAACTGGAAAGGGCAATGAAAATGGCTAATAGGGAGAGGCACCACAGAATTAAGGACAAATGTTTCTTTCCTCAAAAAGGGTAAAATGCTGCAATCATCCAACTATAGGCCAGAGACTTAAATTCTAGAATTTTGCCAGGAATCTTATTGAGATAGTGATCATCTACAAGAAACATGCAGTGATAAAGATTACCTTCCCTTCCAATGCCAAAGATCTGCAGATCTGCCTACAATGCACCAGAAATATTTCTTCTTAAGAAGGTTATTTATCCATAAAATCTGGTTAGCCTTTAAACTACAATATGAAAAATGGGTATATAACCTGTTTGTTGAGGGCAAAAATTGAAACCATGAAATATGATCTGTAAGAAATCTTAAATTCTTCACTGTTTGCAAATGAAGTAATTATTTACCAATATTATAGCATAAAAGTTACATATAACTTTTATGCTATAAAATTGGTAAATTTTTTTTTTGTTCAGTCATGTCTGACACCTTGTGACCCCATTTGGGTTTTTCTTGGCCAAGATACTAGAGTAGTTCGCCATTTCCTTCTCTAGCTCATTTTACAGATGAGGAACTGAGACAAACAGGGTTAAGTGACTTGCCAAGGGACACACAGCTAAGTGCCTGAGACCACATTTGAACTCAGAGATGAGTCTTCTTGACTTCAGACTATCCACTGTATCACCTAGCTGCCCATGTAAAAACTTGGTTATATTAGCTACAGTAACTATACATATCCCTACAATTCAAGGGATCTCAGAAGCAATTTAGTACCTCTCATGTTACAGATGAGGAAACTGAGGCCCAATGGGAATTAACTGCCCTGGCCACAGGATGAGTAATAAGTGGTAAGAATGGAATTTGAAATCGGGTCCCATTGACTCCAGTTCAGCATTCAGCATCCTACTTACTGCCTCAGAGTCAGATTCTTTTATCTCAATAACTATAAAACTGAACTAAACTATATCTAAACCTAAGCAGTTAATCAATATTTTACTTGGTGGCTAAGATGTCAGGACTACATCTCCTTGAGATACTTGGCAGGCAGAGAGAATGGTGCAGCCTTTAATGATAAGTTAGTCTTAATCTTTACTAGAATATCATTTTCTTCTGAACACAGATAACTTCTCATGTAACTTATTTGGAAATACTTTTTGTCTGAGAAACAATGTATGCTAAGTAAACTACTGCTTAAGTTTAGTATTATTGAAGATAGTCAGCTTATCCATACCATGTGCTTGAACTTTGGGAATATTTTCACTTCATATAAAACCCATCTATTCCAAAAAAAGAGGCAATGAAAAAGTATAAATAGAAAAAGTTTAATGGAAGTTATTTTCACTGTACACTTTTGATCCAAGATAAAGAAACCCTATCTCTCAGCGGAGGTGGTAAACTTTACAATTCAGAACTCAGGAGTTAACTTTAAATGTTCCAACCTAACACTTTTGGTAACACCCATAAAGTTATAGGGAATCTAGAAGATCATCATCAGTCCATTCTTCCTGAAAGGAAAAAAAAGCACATTGTTCAATTCCACCCAATGTTCTAGCCTGTCTCTATACCATCTTTAGGTTATCTGCAAACTGATATTTAGTCTAAGCCTTAATCTAAGCCACTGACAGTTAAATAGGTACAGGGCCAAGCACAGATCCCAGAACTCAGTTAAGTTCCCATTAAACCATTAATAATGACTGGTTCCTACCATTCAACAACTTTCCAAATCCACCTAACTACAAACTCTAACTGGTTAACTCCACCTTTTCCACAAGAATATCAAAAACTAGCAAACAAAATCTAAATAAATTAGATCCACAAGTAACCTTGTCCAAAAAGGAAATAAAAGTTGGTATAACTTGCTCTTGACAAAGCTATGTTGGAATTTTGCAATCACTTCTTTTTCTAGATGGTTAACTAACCACCTTTTTAATATGCTGTAGAATTTTGTCCAGAAATCAGTCGAGACCTATAGTTTGGAAATTCTATTCTTTTCCCTTTTGTAAAAAATTGGGACATTTACTTTCGTCATTCCTGCAACATCTCTCTTGTTTATCAGTCTTTGAAAGACAACTAACAGTGGCTTAATCTAGTTCTTTCAGTAGCCCCTTGATGCAGTTCATTTAAAGCAGGTTACTGGAATTCACTGAAAACAGCCGAGTGCTCTCTTTATATGCCTTGTCCTTGAGTATCAATTCTCTATCAGCCATAACTGTCCTACCCAAAAGTTCAAAGATGATGATCTCTGAACAAATAAAATACAAGAATTGAACAGCTATTTTTGTCATTATCGTCCCATCCACTGAGTTACAGTTCTATCTCTTATTTGAAGCTCCTCATTCCCTGAGAGCTTAAAAAAAACTTCAAACCCTTTTTGTTGTTCTTAGTATTCTTAAGCAGCCTCAACTTAATCTGAGCTTTAGAACTCCTGATGCTACTTTTAAAGAATGGTGACACATTTTTTTTTAATTCTTCTTACCTTCTGTACTTGTCTTTTAATTCTACATTGGTTGTTGAGTTACCTGTGCATACAGAATAGTTCCCTTGAGACAACTCCCCTTTTTTCTTCCTTAGTAGAAATGTGTCTCTCTGTGCGCTCAGAATTTCATACCTGAGAGCTTCTCATCCCTTCTGTACTTACCTCCTGTAAAGCAGGGCTTCTTAAACTTTTTCCAGTCAAGACCTCTTTTAGCTTTTAGGCAGGTAAGCTAGCGTTTTGTGGCCTGAGGGCGTGTGCAGTGCAAAAATGGGCATGCTTGGTGTTTAGAACCAAGGCTGCAGTGAAATTGCATGATGTAAAATGGGCAAGTGTTGCCAGAAAACACCCCAAATTCATTGATTTTTGGTTACTTTTTGGTCATTGCATGTTCAGAAACCTTTTATGGTTGCCAAACTTTTTGTGACCCCATATAGGATGGTGACCCACAGTTTAAGAAGCGCTGCTCTAAACAACTTTACACTATGGGCTCCTACACATCCTTCTTCTAAATGCTAAAGAACTAAGGTCTGCTGTCTCCAAACGTAGGATGCAACTCAGAACATTTTCGGCTTTCCTCTACCACAAACTCCAAGGTGGTGGTTACTTCCTCCAAGGTTCCCATCATTTCCTCCCTCACCAATTTCCCATGGTTACTGACAATCAGATCCAGAAGAAAAGCTCTCCCTTCTTGGTTTCATCACCCTTTTGAAGGATAAAATTATCATTAAGTTAATAAATTAATTGTTCAGTTTTTGAAAACTCCAGGACAAATCTATCTAATTGAAGTCCCTTCACTATTACATAACACCTCTGAGTCAGTTCTGCTAATTTTCTTCTATTTTTTCACAGGTGATCTACAGTACTTGTTTCTATCTCCTCTGTTCTTTGCCCAAATGCCTCCCTTTATACTTTCTCCTAGGTTTGTAAGAAAATCCAAGAACCTCCTATTAGATCAAATGGTCCCCCACTCACCCCTTTATCCTGGCATCCTGACAATGTTGATTACGCCTTCCTTCTTGGCCTTCTTAACTACTATGGCTCTTCTTTCTCTATTACTATTGTTCCTTCTCCTTTGGTGGATCCTTATTTTCCTCTTGCTCTATTAAATGTAGGTGTTTCCTAGGGTTTTGTTCTGGGTCCTCAACGACTTTCTCTCTACCCTTTCCTTAATGACTTTATCTGTTCTCAAGGCTCTAATCGCTACCTTTATGCATTTCACACTCAGATCTATCTATCCACTCCAAAATGCTCCAAAGAATTACAGTCTCTTTTCTCCATCTACCTTGTTAGGTACCTTAAACTGGCTAATACTTCAAATTCAGCATGTTTAAACTGAATTCAGCTTTTCCCCATAAAAACTTGCCTTTTGCCATAATTTTCCTATTAATGACACCATCATCTTGCCAATTCTTCCTAAGCCCAGTCTCTCCTCTGGCTCACATCCCATCCCACATCTAACTTCTTGATAATTAATAATTTATTGATAATTTACTGATTTATTATTAATAATTCATTGATAATTAATAATAATAATAATTTGTTATTCCTACCTTAATAGTATGCCTCAAACACGCTTCTTCCAACCCATCCGATTATAAGCTCCTTAAGAACAGAGTTTTCTTCACCTATTACATTTACTTATCTCTGCAGTGCCAGCTTTTACTATAGTCTCTTACATATAAGAGGTACTTAATGGTTTTAAAAATGAACTACTACAATTTATTACGAAGCAGCTATGGGACATGGTAGATAGGATTAAGTATTGGACCTGGAGTCAGGAAGAAGAGCACCAGCCTCAGATACTTAGTAGCTGTGTGATCCTAGGCAAGTCACTTAACCTTTAAGTGTCTCAGCAACTCCAAAATTTGAAGTTGCTGAAAAAGTCCTGATCTGCATTTGTAGGGGAAGTTCCTATACTAATTAAATTATAGGTTCAGATAAAAAAAATCATCAAACTCACTGGCACACAATTTTTTGGTACTGGACCTGTGATTTCATAAGTATAGGGAGCTGTATAAGCAGCTGCTGTACAACTGATGGTCTTAAAAGAGTTGCCCACAACACTGCAAGAAAAATTACGTGACTTGCCCAGTCAAATATAGCTCAGAGGAGGGACTTGAACCTTGATCTTCCTGACTCCAAGGCCAGCTCTCTAACCACTGGGCCAGTCATGCTGCTTTTCACAACAATAACAAATACCTACTAAGCAGAAAAACAGACAGCACAGTTATCAGCTGTGCTTAATACAATTTTTTTTAAATCAATCCTAGGCAGTTTCTTCAGATCATGTGTAACTGAGGCCAAGATCCTTATCCTGCAGGAGCATGACATGAATACATGCGAGGAGACTTAGAAGAAAAAGTGAGAAAAAAAAATGCTCAAAAAAAAAAAAAAAGCACATTGTGACAGAGATAACAAACTAAAAATGCAGTATAAGACATATTTTTTTGGAGGGGACATGGTAGATGTATGAATTTGTTTTGTTTGCCCATGCTTATTTGTTCCACAGACTATTTTTGTCTTTTTACGGAGGTAAGGAGGAATTTGAGTGTAATTAAAAAGGCAGTCAATGAAGCATTTTTTAAATGAAGAGAAGTGCTGGGTGTTCCCAAGGAAGGAGACAAGCAGGACAACTTTGATAGTAACATGCCAAATTTCTTATGTGCTTTTATAAAAAAGCAAATTGTACATACATATTTTTCACATATAACCCACTTTTCCTGTTCTACTTTGTATACAGAAATGTCCTCTCCTTTTTTTTGTTTCAGGGGAGAGGGTGGTTGGGTTGTTCATTAAATAAAACAATATTTGAAATAAAGATGTTTAAATAAGTACATATATCTTTCCCTATTTGCTTGTAATCTGCTATTTGGGCCTTGCCCAAAACTACAGAGCATGAACAGAGTTGTATTATATAATGAGAATAACTATTTTTTAAAATAGTATTTTAAAAATATTAAACTAAATTAATACTAAACTAAATCAAATTAAATATTAAATATTTTAAAAATACTAACCTCTTCCAGCTTAGATTTCTTTGAGACATACTCATCATCTTCATAACCTTTCCTCTTCTTTCTGAATTAAAAGAAAAATACTCATAAATTATGTTTCAGTAAGATAACAAAATTACATATATGTCTTATCTCAATGTGTTCTATGAGTAAAATGTACAATCTTTCCAAAAGCACAAAAAATAAGGCTTGGCGGATAAAAATGAAAAAAAATGTGTATTACCGATTAGGTGCTTTGGAGGACAATCAATTCAATTCTACAGGCTAAGATAACTAACATAAGAGTAGCTAAGGGCAAAGTTATTTGAGCCCACTACAAAACCTATTAGGGACAGGTTCTACTCAATTCTACAAATACTTTTCTGGGGTGTTGTGCTATTTCTCCACAATCCCTTCTATTTTTTTTTTCTTGTCATTAAAAAAGCAGAAGAGATATGCTACAAATTTAAACTTCTGAGATGAATTGAGAATTTTTAATAACTCTGGTTTTAAGTACAGATATGTGTGTGTGTATATCCATCCACCAATCTTTTAATGTATCATGAATTTGCACCAATCCATAACTACACAGTGAAAAGTAAGTCAGTAAAAGTCAGTCACATATAAGTGATCTGAGATAAGTTATCAGTTCTACCTTTCACTCCACTAATGCTTCCATCAGTAATTATCCATGCAGCAAATATTCATTACCTCTAATGTGAGCAAGAACCCAAATAATTTCAAATTAAGTGATTAAAATTCAACAAAGAAGTATAATTAGATTGAAAGCTTAATCTCTACTGTAAATTAGGAATTCCACCTAAAATATTTCAGAAATGTTAATGTCTCTGCATGTTTTATTATGACAACCCAGTTCCAAACCAATGACCCACACTTACCTGGCATTCTTCTACAGTGACAAAGTGATGTTTGAAAAGATTTTTCATTGTGGAAAGAAAATCAAGCACTAACAGCACACTTTAAAAGTCAACATCCAAATCAATAACAGGCACTCCATTATCTCCCCAATCTTTCCACAAAAGACAATTTTGCAGAATTTCCCTCTTCACAAAACTACCTCTAGGCAGAAAAGCTAAAAGAAATAATTGCATTTTGGTACAACTGTCCCACCTTCGTTCCCAACACAGTAATGTCTAGTAGTGCCCTGTATCACAACCTCTAGTGAATATTAAAAGATTAAAGCAGACCTACAAACTATAAACATAGTTATACCCTGTCCCATGCGTTACCAATTTAAAAAAAAAATGTAATATGTGATATTACTCTTAAATCGAAAAATGTAAATGACTGATTCTAAAAGTAAAGTAGAACTCAAACGACAGTGCTCCTGATGAACATTCTCACAATGACTTACACATTTATATTAAATGCAAGTTCGGCACTGTGACACTTCTCTAGTTTCTGCTTTAGGGCAGCAACTTCCTCAGGCCTTGGTGGTTCATATTTCTTTACTAAGGTTTTCATGCCTATGGAGATACAAAAGCATTTAAACTTAAACACAAGAAAGCCCACTGCCAAAAGTGAGAAAAAACAGGAATAATCTTTTACAGAAAATGACTGTTTCAATAATATCTCATGCTTTCAAAACCAAAAGCTGAAATAATTTAACATTACACTGTTCCAAAACCCAGCAAATAACATTCTTACATTTATCAACCCAAATCAGGAAATGGCAACTATCGTTAAATAACTAAAGTGTAATTTAGACTAAATTATAGTTGTTTATATTATACATACACAGATATAAATATGTACATATACTGTATTTAGTATTGTTTTATAGTTCTTGCTAAATTATGGGTCCAAGTCTATCCCCTGAAAGCAATGCTATGAAGAATCCATGCTCTTTGCCCCACTCTCCAATACTCATCACATCTTCTGTTGACATTTCTTCAGTATGAAGCTCTTGTCCCAATATACAAAAACTACTTCTGCTTCCTGTCTTTAGCCCCTGTGCTGAGCAAAGATGTTCTTTTCCAGCTCTATTCAATAATCACTTAGAGAACTACTCAAAAGATACCTGAAGGTAGATGCAATAGGTTTTGATGTTCGTCTTCTAGCCCTAGAGGTAAAGGGGTACAGAGGATACCGCACAAAGATCACAAGGTGCAGGAAGGGCAGGAACCAGGAGATCTAAATTCTGTCACCTCTTTGTCATTAACTAGCTGTGTGGCCTTAGGCATGTTACTTTTCTGGATTTCAGGTTGCTAATTTGTAAAATAAGGGAAGCGGAGAAAATCCAGAACAAATATATCTCTAATCTAAGGTCTCTCCCACCTTTAAAAAGAATCCCAATTCCTATGCTTTGTGGTTCATGTTTTAGCACAATCTGATGCATAATAACACAATATTAAGTGCCTAATGCTCTGGCCAGTTCATCTCAGGTTTATGGGTTTAAATACTACATGGGTTAATTACTATTCTGTTTCACTGCCACAGACTGCACCCCTAATACTAACAGGTTATTTTGGAAATGATTTATAGAATGAATAAAAGAGTTAAAGGATCAATGCAAACTTATTACTACATTCGGAAAAAGAAATCAAAGCACACACTCTACCGAGAGGATGAGGCACTACTATCTTTGTGAATAGAAAATAGTCCAGCAACCTGGGATGGTAATATATGTTATACACAGATGACAATCTGGGGTAGAGGGTTATTTTCCCCAAAGAAAGTAACTGGAAAAATGATTGAGAAGAATGTTGTCTATACCTTTAACTAATAGGTAGTAATTTTATCAGGAGTTATGTGATTTCTAAGTTTAAAAAAAAATTATTTTAGAATAAAGGCAAATAACTCCAGCAATAACTTTGTGGGTAATCAAATTCTTTTGTATTGCTAAATAGACTCTAGTTGGGGGGGGGGGAAGTGATTACATAAACCCCTTAAGAATTTGTTGCGTGGGAGAACCCTTGGGCCTATACCAGTCCAGAGTCAACTATACATATCTATAGATTTAATTAGTTTATCATCCACTTATGTAACAAATAAAACATTCAATTAAGTCACTATGTGAATTCAAACATTACCGAGGACACTAGTTTTGACCCAATGTAACTTCTTTTTCAAACAAACATGTTATTTCAAAGAACATACTGTATTTAAGTTTCATACCTAGTTTCCATTTTAAAAATATATCTGGGGTGAAAATATAGACATTTCAGAACAACAACATTCTGTTGCCCTCCTCTCTAAAAGGAAAATGTCAGTTTAATCATCCAACCTCCTTTCCAATTTTACAATTCATTCAATGATTCCTAAATCTATAGAATCAAAATCATAGTTCACTTTCAAAGTGAACCCTCTAGTGGTACAACTAAAGACTTACAACTCAACTTGACCAATCTGTTGGTAAAAGTTCCAACCTCAACCAAGGTCAGTAGTAAACAAGGTACAAAAAGATTAATTGGTAACTTGATTTACATAATAAAATTGAAAATTAAATCTATAACTTAATAAGATAACATTCTTAGAGATAGAAATGGCTTTATAGATGCCAACAATAACATACCAAGATTCACTCTGAACCAATTTCAAACTCAAAAAATTTAAGGACTTTCAAAAATCCCCATATTATATCAGGCTAATCTGGTCCAATGTCTGAGAAATTTGGAAGGGCTGTTATTCAGCTCTCATGGACTGGGGCACAGACCTGACCATCACCCTCTGAGCTTTATGCCTAAATTCAAAATCTCCTTGCTGATCACAATCTACTGCTTTTCTCTATCACTCTCCATTTTCAAAGCTCCTAAACTTATTCACGATCATCACTATGATCTGTCTATCCACATTCTAGCCTCCCTTTCCTCCTTATCTGATCCCAGAATTAGTCAGATTATGCACTACCCCCACCACCTATTCCTTGGCTACTAGTACTTTTACCAGCTTCCCTCTCATCCAAGCTGAAGGAAGTTTTGTAAATGTTGTCAACTGGGTCCACTACAAATTTACATTATTCACTGTCCACTAGACTCGTACTACTACCAGATCAAAAATGTTCTTCAGTAGCTCCCTCCTGGCTCTAGGACATCTAAGGTCTTCCACAATCTAGCTTCTATCTTCACAGCTTTATTATTCCCTTTTAGGCACTTTACATTCTAGTTACACTGTTCCCTCACCTTGATATTACATCTCCTACCACCGTGTAATCAAATGAGATTTCCCCTGTCTGAAATGCACTCCAGCATCTCTACCCATTAGAATTCTTAGAAAATGCCTTTCTTGATCCTTCTAGGAACAAGCACTAATAACTTATTCCCTCTTCAAAATATCTTGAATTAATCACCTGCATGTATGTTATATCCCTTTATTAGGACATATAAATTTCTCCAAAGTAGGGACTATTTCTTTTTTCTTTGTACATCTGGTGCCACATGCTAGGGCACTTAGATGTTTGTTAACTGTTGGTTCCCCTTGGACTTTTCTATTTCTCCAATTCACTCAGCACATAATATTATCTATTACAGCTAACTGTCTCACCTCTACTAGACATTCCACAAGGATATGTGGTCTGCTCCTTATTTCTAAACTTTCTATCTCTTCCAGGTCCTGTAGCAATCCCCAGTACACAGTAAGCATTTAATAAATGTTTGCTGACTCTGAGTTTACTGAATATAAGTATTTTTGAACATTCATATTCTTAGAGCAGGAACTTACCTAGTGGGGAAATGCGTTTAGAGAGGGAAACTAATTTACCTAAGGTTATAACAGTTTCTCAGGCAGCAGAACTAGGACTGGAAGCTAGGTTTGATGACTCCAGGTGGGGTCAATTACTCCTCTCCTCCTACTCACACTATCTCATATTCATCTTGAGATGCCCAAAGTACCTCACACAGGTATTTGAGCATAGCAGGCCCTCAGTAATACCGGATGAATATAGAACTAAGCTTTTTATTTCTTATCCTTCCCCAATTGTTTTCCCAACCTGAGTCATTCTCATGGATTTAGAAGGACTCTTAGGTATGAAGAGAGGGCTCCCTCTCAATGAAGAGACTACTGATGGACAGGCTAACTGCTACCCTTCTAAGGACCTATTAGTGGAGGGATCAACAAACAATAGGATCTAAAATCAGCCTTATTTCTTCTGAAAATCATTCTTAATGGTTTTCCTAACCTCTTTATAAATGAAAAAAATTACTAGGACAAGGAAGGAATACAGAACTATTTGAATTCAGTGACTTCTCTGTTCCCTAATAGACCTATTTTGCCCAGATTTCAGCGAAGCATTTCACAAAGTCTCTCATATTACTTTTGTGGGCAATGTAGAAAAATGTAGTCTAGATAATAATACAATTAGGCAGATCTGGAATCACTGAATAACCAAACCCAGATGGGTATATGGCAGTCTGTAAGAAAATCTCAGGTGAAATGTTTCAGGGCTCTCTATCCTTGACTCTATGGTGTTTATCAGTAACTTGGCTGAAGATACATATTAATTTGTAGATGATATAAAAACCAGGAGACAGTTGATATTGTGTATGACAGAAATTTAAAAGATTTAGTCAGTCTAAAGCACTAGGACAAAACTAATAAAATGCTACTTTACAGAGCTTTATAAAGGTTAACACCTATATTTCAGTTTTTAAAAAATCAACTTCACAAGTACAGATAAGGGAAGCACCGTTAGAGAGCAGTTCTAAAAAAAGACTTAGGGGTTTCAGGGAATGGAAAGTTCAATTATCAATGAGAAGTGTGACATGGCAGTCAAGAAACTAATGAGATTTTAATATAATAAGCTCCATTTGGCCAGGGGCAGTTTCATTTTTGTCTCTGTAACCCAGGTATCCAGCACATTGCCTGGCACATCATAGGGCCTTGCTTACTGAATGATTATGCTTTATTGAGACAAAGTATTTAGAATGAAGAGATAGTCCTACTCATATGCTGCCCCACTTAGATTCCAATTGGAGTATGTGTTTGATTCCAGAGGTCAAATTTTAGGAAGCATATTGTTCATAGCAGAGTTCATGCCAATGTTAAGTCTGGGAAAAAGAAACATGATGGGTGCCTTCAAGTATTTATCAGAGAATTTTAGAAGGGGTAGCAGTAGTCATCTAATCCAACTAATATCTGAAGAAAAATACCTACAATAACCTAACACCTGGTCATCCACCTTCTGCTTAAAGGCCTCCAGGGAAGGGATGCCCACTACCTCCCAAGGCAGCTCATTCCACTCCTTGACAGCTCTGATTTCTAGCAAATTTTTCCTGACATTGATCCTGAATCTGCCTCCCTGCAATTTTCACTCACTGATCCTGGTTCTGGCCCTTGGAGTCTAACACAACATAAGGCGGCCTTTTCAAGTACTTGAACATAGGCCATCAGATTTTCTCTTCTCCAGGCTACACATGCCCAGCTCCTTCAACAGATACTCAAATGACCCAAGGACCTTCACCACATTCTGACTTCCCTCTCTGGAAATTCTCTAGCTTATCAATGTCTTTCCCAAACTACAGTACCATTAGGTACTGAAGACAACACTCCAGATGTGGTTTGACTAGAGTACAAAGGACCTATCTCCTTGCTCCTGAAAGCTTGGCCTGTTATAATACAGTCAAAGATAGTGTTGGTTTTGATGGCTGCCACATCACATTGCTGACTGGGAAAGCCCCTCAGATATCTTTTTCAAAAATACAGCAGAGAACATCCTGTATCAGGGTTCAAAAAACTGACTTCACAAGTACAAGAATTAACATTTATAACATTTATTAAACTTAATTTCATTACATTAGATTCAGTCCTATGTTCTAACATGTCAAAATCTTTTTGGAGCCTGTTAGTATGGCAGCTTGCTCTTAATGCCATCTGTAAATTAATTTAAGAGATATCTTGTGGAAGAAGAATTAAACTTACTCTGTTTGGCCCCAGATGGCAGAAATGGGAACAATAGGTTAAAGTTCCAGAGAGGCAAATTTTGATTTAATGTAATAAAACTTCCTAACAATTACAGTTACCCAAAGATGGCATAAACTACCTTGGGGAAGTAGCAAGTTCTGTCACCTTAGAGGGGCTCAATGTCTATTTACTGGGATATTATAGAAGGGACTCTCATGTTCAAGTATATATCAACCCTGGAAATCCCTTTGATCTCTGAGATTTTGATTCTATGAATTTATATATATAAATTAATCTTGAACACAACTTATACAGGCTGTCCCAATAGTATTTTCAGCACGTACAATCTCTGAAGTGAATTCCATATTTATTATCTGCAATGGAAAGTGTTTCTTTTTATGTGCCTTTTATTTGCCACAAATAAATATTTTATGCCTGCATATGATAATTACAAATTTAAGTAATTTTGTAGGACATATGTATACAACACCTTAAGAAAAATGTAGTTCAGTCAAGATTAATAGAAAATACCATGTTGTAACATGTATTCCCACAAAAAGTTTCTTTACTTACATTTCATTGTCTCTAATAACTGTGACAAACAGGTTCGATTCTCTTTCAGCATAAGACTTTCCGATAAATAACTAAAATAAAGGAAAAAAAAATTACAAACTAATCTTTTTGTTAGTAATTTGCAATTATTATTGAATAGAACATGAACACGTGAGAGGCAAAATCTTCTGTCACCTTCCTCATGATGGGCAAGTATACCATTATTCTGTCCTAAGTTTAATTATGCTATGATATTTGAAATATCAGAAAACTAATGTTGCTAAAGCTCCTAATCTCTCAAAAATATGTAGCAACTATAAGAAATCAATTTCTGTTTTTTGCAAAACAACAACCAAAAAAAAGGCTGCAACATTTTTAAAATAACCAAAATATCAGAGCTAGAAATAAAATGCACCAGGACTATCATGGACAAAAGATTTTCTGATAATAGACTGTCATTTCATCAGGGTGGGGGAAATAACTTGTATGGAAACTCTCTCCACCAATGCAGACTAGCAACTTGTATGATATCTAGTCTTAGAAAGCTATCTGGAGTAAAGAGAAGTGACTTGCCGAGGGCCACATAACCAATATTTACCAGCAGCCAGACTTGAACCAACATCTTCCTAACACCAAGCCTAGGTCTCTATCTACTACTTTACCAAATGAATTAATATCCTGTTACACAATTGTTTAAAATAATTTTTTACATGTTATAAATCTTAACAAAGAAAAAAAGTAGAATACTAAGAATATTAGGTTTTGTCCTTCCCTTTTTCCTCTTTAATATTCCTCCTCCTTTAGAGCATTCATTTACCCAATGAAAACTTACTATTTATATATGTGCATACACACACACACACACACACACACACACACATATGTATGCATGTATGCAAAACACATCATGCGTGTCACTGGCCAGAGATATTGTTTTACCCTGACATTCAAGTTTAAAGGCATAATACTTTGTTAACAATATGAAGGTAATAAAAAATACCTACATAACAATTTCAGAATTAATTTTTTTTCTGCTTAGGAATAGAAGGCTAATTAGAATTTCCAGTGCTTTACAATTATGCATCAATTGTGTTTTTTATTTAAAAATTATCAAATTGTAGCTTTTAAAGATAAAAGCATAAACACAGGTAAGCAAAAAAGCCCAAGAAAGGAGACTAACAAAGAATAAATGGAGACCTAAATAATGACATGGAAGAAAAAAAAAATGAAGGAAGGAAAGGACCAGCATCATGAACACATGGTGGAGGATAACACAACAAAAAGTACAAAGGAAAGAAATGATGAAAAGTAACTAGAACATTTCTGCTACTTAATTTATGGTCCAAAAACTTTGTAAACTAAATAATATTTAAAAGTTCTACTATACTTTTGTTGGGCATTAAAAAAAGATTATAACAGTATTTTCCTTCCAAATTCCATATGGCACTGCGTAGCAGAACTGAACATTCAGATATTCCTCAAATTTATGAATTATTTGGAATATGGAATAATATCCTATAGAAGCACCATAAGATCAATATCATACACCATACACCACAGCAAGTTCAAAATGAATATATGATCTAAATATTAAAGATCACACCATAAAAAATTTAAGAGAACCAAATCAAGTATCTCTAACAGTTATGGCAAGGGTTCTTGATTAAAGGTCAAAAGTAATCACAAAAGATAAAATAGAAAATTTTGATTACTTAAAATGGAAAAGCTGCATAAACAAAATCAAAATATCTAGGATAAAAGGAAAAGCTATTAATTGGGGGAAAAAAACTTTTGCATCAAGTATCTTTTAAGATTAAGATATATAGGGAGCTAACACAAAAATGTAAGACTAAGAAACCTTCCTCAATGAATAAGTGGTCAAAGGATATGAACAGTTCTCAAAAGAATTGAAAACTATTAACAACCATATGTAGTACTGTTTTATATCACTGACAATAAGAGAAAGGTAAATTAAAACAACACAGAGGTCTGATGTCTCATATCCAGCAAATATGACACAAGATGGAAATAGTCAATGCTGGAAGGGTTGCAAAAAGACAGGCACATTAACATACTGCTAGAGGAGCTATGAACTAGTCCAACCATCTTGCAAAGCCATTACAATTAGGTGAAGGAAAGAACTAAAATGTCCATATGCTTTTACCCAGAGATTCCACTGGTACGCATATACTTGAAGGAGGTCAAAGACAGAAATAAAGGTCCCAAATATACTAAAATATTCGTAGAGGCATTTACTCTAATGGCAAAGAAATGGAAACAAAACAGATGCCCACTGATTGGGAAATGGCTAAAACATGAATGTAATAGAATTTATACTATATTACCAAAAGAAATGATGGATAAGAATTCAGAGCAGCATGGGAAGACATATGAACTGGTAATTGTAAAATAAGCAGAACCAGGAAAACAATATACACAATGATTATAGCAATGTCAATAGAATCACCAAAAATTAAAAACAAAAACCATGACACTGAATGCTGTGTAATTAGAATGAATGAATTTGTCCTTGAAAAAGAAGTAAGAAAATATATTTGCTTCCCTTCTTTGCAGAGGTATGGGAATGCTAATGTGGAATGCTGCAAATGTCTTGATACATGGTCAGTTTTGCTCAAACTTTATCCTCAGGTTAATAATAAGGTATTAATTTAATAATAATAATAATAGCCAGCATTTATAAAGTGCCTACTATGTTCCAGGTATTGTGTTAGCACTTTACAATTATTATCTCTTTTCATCTTCACAACAATCCTAAGGAAATAGGTACTATTATTATCCTAATTTTACATATAAGGAAGTAGAGCCACACAGAGATTAAGTGACTTGCCTAGGATCATACAGTTATTAAGAGTCTAAAGCTGGATTTGAAGTCAAGTTTTCAAGCCTAGAACTCAAAATCCACTGTGCCACCGAGCAGTCAATATACAATTTACATGTGGTTACCATTCACACATGCTATGCCTCTCCTAAAACTCTAGATAATAGAGTGAAACAATTCCTATATATTCAGAGCTGTGAAAGGCTTTGAAGAATCATATTGTTGATACCTACTTTTAGATATGAATGAATTATCTTCGATCAAAGAATTTTTTTTTAATTTTTAGAGAACTTTGGGAAAAGATTCAATCACTTGATTGTCTCTTCCACTTTAAAAAAATTATATTAGATCAACCCTTAAACTCAGGGGCATGAACTGATAAATTTTAAAACAGCACTTTACTAAAAAAACAAAACAAAACAAAAAAAACAAAAAAACCAGGGTTTCAGTGGTAATCAGTGGTAATAAAATGACAAAGGGTGTACCTAAAACATAAAATGAAATTATACCTTTCCATGTTAATTCCAGCTCTGGAGGCACTGGATAGAATGGTAGTCAGAGCAATCTGTGAAGGTGTATACAAAAGGTAAGCATCTGTCAAAGCAATTCTATTAAGGAAGTCATCAGCTGTTTTCCTTAAAACTTCTGGGTTCTCTAGTACTGGATAACGAGTCTAAAAAGAAAAGAGTAGGGATTAAATAGTTTGTTTTAAATCATATTAAAAGAAAATACTTATTAAAGAAGTACTATTTTTGTGCTTAATAATGATAAGCAATTTAATAAATTTCCCATGTAAAACTGTACGTTCTATTAGAAAATGGCAAAGAACAAATCACTAAGGTCTGTAAATGTTTTAGCAGTTTGCCAGCTTCCTACACTATTATTCCCTAAGGCAGAAAAAAAGACCAACATGCAATACTTGTAAAATATTTTATTTAGGACAGATGAATAATTTGAGAAATTGGCTTCTTCTGAATAGTATACTTTCAGGAGGATGTCTTCTGAAAGGTAGATGTTATGCTGGCCACTAGGGAAAATGCTAGGCAGATGCAAAATAATTGATCCTTTACTTCCATCTACCCTTCCTTTGTATCACATTAAAAGGAATGAATGGGTAAAAGCCACTGAGAAGGCAGGATAATACCACCAAAGGTACTGACACAGCTCTCTTTGTTCTACAGCAAGTGTCCCGGTTTCATACAATGGACAACAAGAGTACCACAGCATATAAAATACAAGAGTTCAGGTATATATAGCGTAATAAGGTTTGCAAAGTACCTTATATAAGTTCCGTCATTTGATCCTCAGAAACAACCCTATTATTATTCTCATTTTCTAGATGAGGAAAAAAGATGTTCAGAGAGATGACGTCATTTGCTCAGGGTCACACAAAGAATAATTATCAGATGCAAGATACGAATCTGTGTCTTCCTGACTCCAAGACTAGTCCTTTATCCACTCTGCCAACATGGACAAGTGAGCACATGAACGAGACTATGTTACTATCATTTTAAGGGTGGCCTCTAAGAAGGAGTGACCTGAAATTAATTTTGGGTTGATGAAGACTTGCCAATTCTCTCCAAAAGCCAACAAAAACAACTTTTAGGAAATCCACAGAAGATGTTGACAACTATCACGCTCAATCTATGACTCCAAAACACCCTTTGACGTAAATACTAAAACTGGCTGACCTCACGAAACCAGAGCAAGCAACAAAATTTTTGCATATCAAAGTATCAAATTTTGGGCATCAAAAATCTCTCTTAGGTTTCAAGACAGCCAGCTGAGGCCCTAAGGAGAGCTACTGCTTGATGGGTCAGACTGCCCCCAGAACCCATCAAGACCTTTGCCAATTCCTCTGCAATAATTCAAAGGTGCATTCCTGGTGATGTTCAATTCGTAAGAAGCAAAATGGTAATTAGCCAAATCATCATCTAGTTTATCTAAAAGTTAGAGACTGTGGTCCTTAATGTAGTTAAGTCCAGATATAGCACAGTTACACTACATGACACAATACAGAGGGCTTTCTTTTAAATGCTGTTTGTTAACTTTGCTGTAATATGACAACGTTCTTCTAATATTTCTTAATAAATACATAAACTTAGAAGGGGTTGAAAATAGACCCACTGTAAGGATTCCAAACTGAAGAGATTCTAATTTATATATAATAGCTCAAGTAACTCTTAATTGACATTGATACTTATATACTTTTAACTAAAAGGTAATTTTAAATAATATCTTTTCATATTAAGTGATATACCATAAACAGAACACTGTATTAGTTTACTTCTGAATTATTAGACTTACCTTCAAGTCAATGAGAAAACCCTCAAATGGCCGGTAAGGATTGTGGACAATAAGGTGGAAATTAAGCTGCTGAATAAGTAACAGTTCATACTCCAAAATTTGTTCAAGTGCCTTTTCCTGTCCAAGAGGGCTCTCCCGAAGATTTCCAACAAACTGTACGCTGGACACATTAAATTCATCTACTTTGCATGCCAAAAATGCACAAGTGAGCCTACAAGGAAAAGCAATTCCACACATTTAAACTTTTAAAAATATGGCAGGTTAGAATATTCAATCTTATATGAGTGAGTTTTACATTAAAAAAACTTTTCCTAAATTATCAACTAGATATCAACTAAAAGTTCCTAAATTATCAACTAGATATCAACTAAAATTTCCTAAATAATCAACTAGACAAATAAAATATTTTTAAAGTACTATGTTTATTACTTACATTATTATCCGAGGGTGATATTCCATCACTGAGTTATTGAGGTAAAAACGTTTCAAGTACATACATGCTGTACCCTAAGTTAAAGAAAATATTTATTATAGCCAGTCATGCAACTAAGTTTTAATAAAACATCACAAATTAGTTAAGGTTTTGATCAGTACAAATGGAATTATTTGGAATGCAAGCAATGCCATAATGACAAAAATTTCTGAATAACCAAAAGATCCCATAGCCAATGAATGGCTCTTTTAAAAATATATAATCCAAACAAAACATTAATTTAAATAGTTCACAACCTTCCTCTTATTCTTACTATACATTTGTGGTTTCATTTATTTTAATGAGATGGCTCAGTGGCTGGGCCTAGAGTCAGCCAAGACCTGAGTTCAAATTTGACCTCAGATACTTACTAGCTGTGTGACCCTGGGCAAGTCACTTAACCTCTGTTTGCCTTAATCCACTGGAGAAGAAAATGGCAAACCACTTCAGTATCTTTGCCAAGAAAGCCTCATGGACAGTACTGGTGTGCTATAATCTATGGGTTCACAAAGAATTGGACACAACTGAACAAATGAACAACACCATCACTCCCAACTCCCCAAATGTATAACACAGAGTAATCCAGGAATAGGTTAAATCATCATAAAATCTAAAAATATATTTATTTTTGTTTGCTTGTCTGTCACTCTTTCGTAAATACTAACTGAACAATATTCATATGTCAGCTCATCTGCTACAGTCATTTTATAGCTGTAAGGGGGTAAAAAAAACCCTCTGAACCCTAGGCATACTACTAAGATGAACTTTTCATTGGTGTTTATTCAAAACTAATGGGATCAAATGAGATAATGTACATAAAATGCTTTGCAAAACTTAAAACAGCTTGTCAACTATCATCATCCTCATCTTCATCCTCAACAATAATAGAAGTTACCATAAAGGCAACATGAAAAACTCCAAACTGGAAGATGCTTCTTAAAGACAGAATTAATGGTAATGTTGTTGAAACCACAGAGTCAAATTTAAGTTGGATATAAGGAAAACTACCTAATGCTCATAGCTATACAAAACTAGAATGAGCTATAAGTTAGGAGGTATTGGGCTCACTGATGATTGGAAGCCTTCAAACAAGGGCTGGATGACCACCTGTTACAGATGTTGTAGAGAGGCTTATTTTTCAAGTACTAGATAGATTTTGAGATACTATTCAATTCAAATTCCGTAAATTACTAAATTGAATATATTCTAGTTATACGCTTGAAAGATCATGTGCTGTCATTTCCACTTTTCCAAAATCTTATGCTGTAGCAGGATGTTAGTTTTAGTATCAGGTCTAAAAAATCAAATCTAAAAATATGGCAAATCTCTCTTCAAGTCCTTACTATCTGAGGGATTCACAATCCCTCAACAAGATCATTCATGTAGCATGCTTCTAACTACTTGACTTACATGCAGAGGCAGTAATGAGAAGAGTACAAATGGATAGCATATTAGCAAAATATTTACTGCTTTCAAGGCAAAAGAGACATCTAGATCTCAGGATATCTAAAAAGTCTTCCATAAACTTCTTTGAACCAGAACTTGTGAATACTTTTATTTAGTATGTTCTGAAGAAACAGCACGTTGTTTGTAAAAGAGATAAAATAATATGCATGCTGTCTTTTTCAGTGGGCTTCATGGTTTCAATGTACCTAAGTTTCTCCATTTGAAGGGCATTTTATTTTCTATTAGGTTCAACCTATTAGACTAGTCATTGTTCAGAAGTAAGTATTTAGGGGCTCTTAACTAAGAAGGACAAATATATCAATCAATCAACAAACATGCATCAATCACCTACTACATGCTAAACACTGTGTTAGGTAATGAAGAAAAAGCTAAAAAATAAAAGTTTCTGTTTTAAAGAGCTTATATTCTATTAGGGAGAATACAAGATACAAAAAATAAAAACAATGTAATTTTAAAAAATTTCATGAGGAGAGGAAAAGGGGAGAAGGGCAGGAAAAAGCTACAGTCTGAAGTTCCTTGTTATAGGAAGGGACAACACCACCAGGTTGAGTTGTAAATAGGCAGGGGCTGGTTTCCATAAACACATGCTAAGTACAGGACAGTATCAGAGGATTACAACTTTCAAAGATGAATGAGAAACATGGTCTGGGTCAGGAAGAAACTTCTGATACTGAGAGAAAAAGAAGAATTCAGGTTTTATGAAGAGTTTGAAATCAATGTATGGTACCTATAACCTTGTCTGTTACAGCTGAGCACAAGAATGACATCAACATTGATTATATACATATGTGGAAATGATATTTTGTGTAAATATTGAGCAAAGAATATAATATTGATTTAGAAAATACTGAGTTCGGATTGTTCAGAGTTTAGAAATTGTCTGATTTGACCTAAGTTTGTTTTTAAGCATTATTCTTCATCCACCCTGCCCGAAACTTACCACAACAGACCTTGGCATTGTAGGCTTAAATATGGAGCAGAAATCTAACAGTCTTTTCTCATAATATTTGCAGATTATTAATTCTTCATGAGGTTCAAGAAAGACTGGATCATTTGCCAGAACCTTCAAGAAAAAAGTTAATCAGCCAATTAAAGCATCCAGCATTCTTTTCCCCAAGATCAACATCAAACTTTGCACACATGCCAATGAAATAGAAGCACAATGCTTAACCCATGTCTCTTTACAACAAACACCAATTTTGCTAGTAAGCAGAAGAGAATGTAGTGCAAAGTGTAGTACAGTGGAAAGAACACTAGATATGGAGTCATAGGATAAGACTCAGGATTACAGCTACAAAGGACCTTAAGAAGCCACTGAATTAATTATCTATTATAAATACCCAAATTAACTATAAAGGACATATGAAGTAAGACACTATCTGCATCCAGAGTAAGAACTGATAAATAGAAGTATGTATACAATAATTTTACATATATATACCTAATTGTGTCTAATGGTAACCATCTCTAGAGTAGGGGAAAAAATATAAAGGAGAATTTTGTTGTATATTTGAAAGGAACAGCAAGTTGTGCATAGTAGATTTGTAGTTTCATGTATAATCATCTTTTATTGTACTACATTATGGAAATACTTATTTTATTCCATAAATTAAAAATAAAATGAAAAAAAAAGAAGCCACTGAATCCAAACTTCTCATTTTACACAACTGTCTATAGTGTCCTAACCACTACACTCATCACTTTCAATGCATATCTACACAGAACATGACCAGATCTACATATCCAGTCCCAAGGTTTTAGTTCAGCTCCATATCTGAATGACCTGCCCACTGGACATTTTGAATTAGATGTCTTACAGTTTCCTCAAACACAATATGTCCAAAACCTCCTGGCGTCTGCCAAACTTTCAAGTTCTACAAAGGGCCCTATCATCCTTTCAGTCAACCATGTTCATAACCTCAATGTTATCTTCAAATCCTTTATCTCACTTACCCAATCTATTTGGTAACATTTGTGATAGGTAATGAGGGCCTAACCTAACATGGTAGTTGTGTGAGTAGAGAGAAGTGGTTGGATGCAAGAGATGTATTGGTAGAAACATCAAGCTTTGGCAACTGCTTAGATACATGGGGTAAAGGAAAGTGATTACAAACCTGGGAGACAGCTGTGTCTTTCAGAGAAACGGGGAAATGTGGAAGAAGGAAGGACAGGAAGAGATGATGAGTTCAGTTTTAGACATGTTTGAGATGTTACCAGGAAATCCAGCTTGAAATGGTTCAATAAGCAATTGATAATTCAAGTCTGGAGGTGGGGGAGGGGGATCAAGGAGAGAATAGAAGAGACTATCGAGGAGGAGAGGGCTGTTAACAATGCCAGATCCAGCACACAGGCAGGGTGAGGATTAGGACTAAGAAAAGACCACATCAGATTTGGCAATTATAAAATCATTAGCAATTCTGGAGGGAGAAGTTTCAGTTGAGTGATGAAGTTTGATGTCAGATTACAAAGGGCACAATAGTGTGAAAACAATGAATGCAGATACCTTTTCCAAGGAGCTTGGCTGAAAAACCCAGGATTCTAGACAATAGCTTAAGGTGATGGCAGGATCCAGTAATTTTTTAAAGGAGGCATATTTGAAAGCAGTAGATAAGGAGAGACTGAAGAAGGGGAAGGGGGTTAAGGATGACTGAGGATGCCAATCTGCTGAAGGGAATGGGATCAAGGACACACATATTAGAAAGGTTGGCTTTGTCTAGGCAAAAAGCCACCTCTTTGTCAGAGACTAGCGGAAAGGCGGACTGAGTGGGGGATGTCCTTAGAAGAGGGAGTTGATGTCAAATGGCTTCAACTTTTTCAGTTTCTCTGGGAAATAGAATAAAGGAATCAATTAGGGAAGACTAAAACGGCTGCCCTGGGGCAGAAAAGGTTCAGTTGAGGCTGGATAACATGAATTTGTAATGGTACCCAGCCAGAAAGGTTGTGAAGTCTTCCTCCAGCTGAGGTCAGCACTTTTCGAGGTGCAGCAGAAGAGGTAAAATGATTAGGGGAATCCAGAGATGAATGGCAAAAGGACAAGTGCGCAATGCATTCTACAGCAGAAGACAAGGTGGAGTTAAAAAAGCTAACTACTGGTTGTCAGTGCAAGGGTAATGGCCTGAGAAAATACTGAAGGACTGGAGAGCTTAATGAAGGCAAATAATAGATTTTGAATGAGTGAGGCTTATGAAAGGTAGAATGATAGGTAATTATAGTCAGAAAGGGGACAGAGTTTCCAATTAGAGAAGTGGAATTCTTTTGAGTAACAGTGAAATATAGTGACCTTCTTTATATGCATTTGACATGAAGGGAAGGAGATCCTAGGATTTAATTTATTACACCTTACACCCCACCAAGACTTCACAGTCCAGACATACTGGTTGTCCTCTTGCCGTTTCTTACACATATGTTTCATCTCCGTGCCTTTAGGCTGGCTGTTGTTCCATGCCTGGAAAGCTTTCCCCTCTCACCTCTGCACCCTGAATTCTCTTAAAGACTCAGCTCAAGGTCCTGTGTGCCTTCCCGTCAAGATTACCTGTTACTTTTAGTACCTGCCTATATATGCATCTGCTGTCTTCCCTGGTAGGATGTCAGCTACTTGAATGTGTGGGCTGTTTCAATTGTTTTTGTATCCCCAATACCTAGCATCTGCTTGCCATGGTTAAGCGCTTAATAAATACTTGGGGATTGATTCCTGCTGTCCTAAGACCAACCTAGCCAAGTATAAAAATCTTCACTAGTTGGTAGTCACAAAGTAAGAATTCCTTGGCTGTCGCAACCCAAGATCTAGTTCTATGGAAGGAAAACACTACACAATTCCCCAACCCGCAGGCCACACCTAAAGTAGGTGTCAATGTCGAGTCAGGGTTCTGCTAGAATAGAACTGACCCACTGCCAATGTAAAACCCACAACCATTAATTAAAAAAAATCCCCAACCCTCCACAAATAAAGACTGCCCCCGAACCTCGGCCTGAGTCTAAGCTCTATGGCCCAGGGCCGGTCACTTAACCTCTCACGGCCTCGGTTCCTATGACGTAAAGCCTGGGGTTGTGGCTAGTGTAAGATGCTTCCCGGCTCTTAGGTCTCAAAAATAACCAAAGACAGCCTGTATTTGTACAGCGCTTTAAGGTCCGCAAAGTGTGCAGATGTCTTATCTGATCCTCCCAACAGCCCTGGGAGAGAAAAGTAGTGTTATCTTCACTTTTCAGATGGGGAAACCGAGGCAGACAAGCGGGAAAGGGCTCGCCCGGGGTCACACAGTCGGCTGAGGCTCTGGGTCTTCGCCACTGCGGGCACGTGCGGTGGGCCTCGGGCTCCAAACACCGAAGGAGGCGGATGACCTGGGGGGTCGCGGCGAGGGGGCCGGGGCTCGCACTAACCTTCCCGTTCGCCACCACTTTGCACTTGAACTTGCGGTTGGCGTCGGCCCGGAGGCGCCCCAGCTGCTCCTCGCTGGAGAACGTCCAGTGCCGCTTCTGGCTGCTGTTGTGATACATCCTGGGCGGCAGCGAGGGTGAGGGACCCGGAGGGCCGGCCAGCGACCCCGGGAAGCCGGTAACGACGAGCAAGGAGCCGCGCAGCCCGCTCTGCCCCGCCGCGCGCAGAAGAATGAGCCAAGCCCTCGCGATACCCGACACTGACGCCAGCCCCGCCCTGCCACGCTTCACCTCACCTCGCCTTGTCGTCCGACGCGATGACGTCACAACGCAGCCGCTTGGCGTCGGGTGTGGGGGGGGGGGGTCGACTTATCGTTTCCCTTATCGCCAATGGCTAACTCTCCCCATACAGATAGTGGGAGGGCACGCCTGTGGCGTCATACGCCGACTTGTGGCCGCAGCGCCGCGACGCATGCGCGTCACCTCCTCGTAGTGCGCGCGTGCTGTCCTCCCCGTTCTCCTACCCGAATTTCAAATTCGATGTGGAAGGGTGGTGCCCCCAGGCTAAGCACAAAGTAGGGAGAATTTAGGGTGACAGTGAGCCTTTTAGTTGAGGAAGGGAATTTAGGGTGTCAGTGACTTCTTTCGATGGAGAAGAGAAATTCCCCACCTCCCCCACTCCCTCTGGGCAAGAAATTTTACTGTACATAGAGCGACTAATCAGCAAACATTACTGAGTGGTTTCTATTGAGAGTTGAACAAGAAAATGATCGGAGACGGAAAAAGCTAGAATTAATTGTGCATAACATTGAAATGGACGTGCTTTCCCTGCCCTTGGAGGAATTAGAACCCCCCCAACTCCCCCCATGTGGTGTAAAGGCCTGGATTAAAGTCAAGACATCTGGCTCCTGTGTGCCCACTTCCAGATGTGTGGGTGACCTTGTCACCTGATGTCTCTAGGTCTGTTTACTCAAAACTAAGGGAGTCTAATTAGATGATATTTAAGGTCTCTTCCAGCTCTACCATGAGTTGATGATTGCATGTATTAATAGCTGCCTTGAAAGCTGTTTTTCTTTGCAATGTTGATGTTATTGTATAATTATTCTGTTCATGCTTACTTTGTGTCTCTTCATACAAACCTTCTTAGGTATAGTGGGGCTGGTCCTATCTAATGCTGATCTTCTGGTAGAAAATGGAATGAAAATGGTCAGAAAATGGTCAGAAAATGGAATGAAATGAGTCATTCTTGGGCCATTCAACAGTTAATGAAAAGAGGTTTACTTAACTACATCAGGGAAAGGAAGCAGCAGGAAAAGGCATGTTTATTGGGGATATAGCTTTGATTCTGAGTGACTGCTGTTGGTCATCCTGCTAATACACATACAGCCTCAGTGGCCTAAGGATGACCATCAGCTGATGTCTTTGCAGTTTGTACTCAGTCAACTAAGGAAGCTATTCAGGCAATTAACTCTCAAGGGTAGTTCTGATACTTCTTAAGGGAAAACTAACCTAACTTGCTGGGGAGGGTGAGAGATAAGAGGGACTTAGGGTATTGTTCTTATCACATCAGGTGTTTGTGAACCAGGCTGTTTTGTCATTTCTCACAGGGAAGTAATGTAGATTAGTCCTTGTATTGATGAGAACTCTTTTTAGTCTTTCAAAATTGTTCATCTTTATTGTGTTGTGTTTATTTTTTAAATTGTTCTCCTAGTATTCACTTCATTGTATACCAGTTGATATGAATCTCCCCAGTATAAGATACGTGTGTGTGCTATCTGTTTTAAAAATAGATATGTGTATGTAAATATGGGTCACAGATGGCATAGGGAGATATGATCTGGGATGGCTGTCCATTTTTGTGGAGAGTAAGAGGAGAGTCATGCAGGCACTATCAGGAGAACAACTGTGAGCAAAGGACAGGCAGGATCCAGGGATACGATGGTGGAGAGATTTTTACTGTTTCTATGAGGGGTATTGGGCTAGAATGATATCTTTTTATCACACCTTAGCTATCTGTAGAGTTCTAGGCATATGAGTATGGGTTCAGAATGAAAGCCACTTTTCCTGATTGATCTCAAGGGAAGGGGTAGCCCTTAGCATATGCTATGTAGCTTAGTCCCTTCCCTCCAAATACTGGTTTCACAAAGACCATTATCAAATGAATCAGAGAAATCAGACAAGTTAGAATATGCCAAAGAGTACACAAGAGTAAATGCATTCTTTAGCCGACAATGAGATGAGAGTTCAGCTCAAACCAAGAAAGAGAATTATCTTACTGGCGATGAAGCAGGGCAGGTGGTGGTAAAGTGGATTCCACTCAGCATTCTCTAGGACTACAGATATGAAAAGTCTTGGGAAATGATGAGGGGATGACTTTCTGTATATGTCTGTGGTTCTGGAGAGGTTGTCAAAGTGAGTAATACCGCCATCTAGGGGGCACTGGAAGGATCCAGGGGGGTGGTGGTGGACTTAGGTACAGTTGGAGGGTGTTGAATAAAAATAAGGGAGCAATGGGAGCATAAAGAAAGAAGAGAAGAAAATTTTGAAAAATCGTTCTTAAATGTTTTATCTGTTGTATAATAGAGTTAAAGTCATAGTGATTACATTATTTTCCAAATAAACACACAAAATGCAAGTTATAACCAATCAATGTGTCAAGTCTGCTGGGAGGTCTTAACAAGTACATGTTGGCAGGCAAGCACGTCGCACATTGTCTGGAAGTCCAGCATACATCAGCAGGAATATGTGCGTGTAATGACTTGTTTACAATATGATACTACATGTTGCGTCATTAAAATTTCAATGCAGGAAAAAATCCACAAATTTACAATAAATTATTATATTTAAGATGTATCTTTTTTTAAAAAGTATTTTACATTTTTTTGAAATGACACAAATTAAAAAAAAAAAAACTACTAAAGGGTTAAAGAAAGTAGATTTCCAGGGGGTGCTGAGTAATTTTTTTTTAAAAAAGGGGATTGGTAGGCCAAATAAGTTTGGGAACCTTTGTTCTAGGGTCCTACTCTGCCATTTCTCTAAAAGTTTGCATATAATAATATGCTTTCTCATCAATTTTTGTCAAATTGTGACTCTTTTTCCCACTTAATAGTATTTTATTTTTTCCAATTACACGTAAAGATAGTTTTCACCATTCACTTTTGTTAGATTGTAGGTTCCAAACTTTTCTCCCTCCCTCCCCACTTGCCTTCCTAAGACAGCAAGCAATCTGATATAGGTAATACATGTACAATCACGTTAAACATTTTCACATTAGTCACATTGTGAAAGAAGAATCAGAACAAAAAGAAAACCATGACAAAGAAAAAAACAAGTGAAAATAATATGCTTCTATCTGCATTCAGACTCTACAATTCTTACTCTGGATGTGGATAGCATTTTCCATCATGAGTCTTTTGGAATTGTCTTTGATTATTGTATTGTTGAGAAGAACTAAATGTATCACAGTTGATCATTGAACAATGTGGCTGTTACTGTGTACAGCGTTTTCCTGGTTCTGTTCACTTTACTCAACATCAGTAAGTCCAGGTTTTTCTGAAATCTTCCTGCTCATCATTTCTTATAGAACAATAATATTCCATTACATTCATATACCACAACTTGTTCAGCCATTCCCCAATTGATGGGCATCCCTTTAATTTCCAATTCTTTGCTACCACAAAAAGAACTGCTATAAATATTTTTGTGCACATGGGTCTTTTTCCCTTTTTTATGATCTCTTTGGGATACAGACCTAATAGTAGTATAGCTAGATCAAGGGGTATGCACAGTTTTATAGCCCTTTGAGCACAGTTCCAAACTGTTCTCCAGAATGGTTAGATTAGTTCACAACTCCACCAACAACACATTAGTGTTCCAATCTTCCCACATTTTCTTCAAAATTTATCATTTTCCTTTTCTGTCATATTAGCCAATCTGATAGGTTACCTCAGAGTTGTTTTGAGTTTGCATTACTTTAATCAATAGTGATTTAGAACATTTTTTATATGACTATAGATAATTTTGGTTTCTTCGTCTGAAAATTGACTGTTCATATCTTTTGACCATTTGTCAATTGGGGAATGATTTGTATTCTTAAAAGTTTCACTCAGTTCTCTATATATTTTAGAAATGATACTTTTATCAGAAACACTGGCTGTAAAAATTGTTTCCCAGCTTTTTGCTTTCCTTCTAATCTTAGTTGCATTGGTTTTGTTTGTGCAAATTTAATGTAATAAAAATTATCCATTTTGCATTTCATAATGTTCTCTATCTCTTGTTTAATCATAAATTCTTCCCTTCTTCATAGATCTGACAGGTAAACTATTCCTTTCTATCCTAATTTGCTTATGTTATTACCCTTGATGTCTAAATCATGTACCCATTTTGACCTTATTTTGGTATACAGTGTGAGATGTTGGTCTATGTCTAGTTTCTGCCATACTATTTTCCAATTTTCCCAGCAGTTTTTGTCATAGTGAGTTATTATCCCAGAAGGTGAAGTCTTTGGGTTTATCAAACACTAAATTACTCTAGTCATTTACTATTGTGTCTTGTGTACCTAACCTATTCCATTGATGTACCAATCTATTTCTTAGCCAGTACCAAATAGTTTTGATGGTTGCTGCTTTATAATATAGTTTTAGATCTGGTACGGCTAGGCCACCTTCCTTTGCATTTTTTTTTCATTAATTCCTTGATATTCTTGACCTTTTTTTCTTCCAGATAAATTTTGTACTATTTTTTCCCAGCTGTATAAAATAATTTTTGGTAGTTTGATTGGTATGGCACTGAATAAGTAAACTAATTTAGGTAGAATTGTCATTTTTATTACATTAGCTCGGCCTTCTCATGTGCAATTGATATATTTCCAATTGTTTAGATCTGAGTTTATTTGTGTGAAAAGTGTTTTGTAATTATGTTCACATAGTTCCTGAGTTTGTCTTGGCAGGTAGACTCCCAAATATTTTATATTATTTACAGTTATTTTAAATGGAATTTCTCTTTCCATCTCTTGCTGCTGGGCTTTGTTGGTAATATATAGAAATACTGATCATCTATGGAGGTTTATTTTATATCCTGCAACTTTGCTAAAGTTGTTAATTATTTCAAGTAGTTTTTAGTTGATTCTCTAGGATTTTCTAAGTATATCATCTGCAAAGTGATAGTTTCATTTCCTCATTGCCTATTCTAATTCCTTCAATTTCTTTTTTC